GGAATTTGGCAATGATGATGAAGGCTATTAATGTTCCAAAGAGATTTCTGGACTCTTTCTTGTTGAAGAAGCTCATAGCTTTGCATTTGCATGGCACAAACATTACCTGTCACTTATCAGATCAAGCCTGAACACTCTTCAAGACTTGTTGCATGTGGGTATAGACTGATTCAGTCTTCAGGAATAACAACTGGGATGTTGTCAGTACATGTAGCCTTTTCTGGATCCAGTGTGGTCAGCTGGCCCTTCACATTAGGTAAAGTGAATTTGTTTTATTCAATCATGGAATTTGGGCATTGCTAGGTCAGCATTTATTGCCCGTCCCTAGTTGCCCTTGAGAAGATGATGGTGAGTTGCCTCTTGAACTGCTGCAGTCCATTTTCCAGTGGTCCCACAATGCCTTTAAGGAGTAAGTTCCAGGACTTTGACGCAGTGACATCGAAGGAACAGTGATATATTTCCAAGTTGGATAGTAAGAGGCTTGGAGGGGAATTGCAAGTGGTGGTGTTCCCAGGGATCTGCTGCTCTTGTCCTTCAAGGTGGAAGGTTGTGGATTTGGGAAGTGCTGTCTAAGGAGACTCGGGGAATTTCTGTAGTGCATCTTGTAGATGGGACATACTGCTACTAATGAGCATCAATGGTACAGAGAGTGAATATTTGTGGATGAGGTACCAATCAAGCAGGCTGCTTTGCCCTGGATGGTGTCAAGCTTCTTAAGTGTGTTGGAGTGACACTCATCTAGAGAAGTATGGAGTGTTCCATCACACTTCTGACGTGTGCTTTGCAGATGTATTGGCTTTGGGGAGTTGGGACGTGAGTTACTTGCTGCAGGAATTATATCCTCTGACCTGCTTTTCTAGCCATTGTTTTTGAAAGGCTAGCCAAGTTCAGTTTCTAGTCAGTAGTAACCCCCTATGATGTTGATATTGGGGGATGCAGTGATGATAATGGCATTTAATGTAAAGGACAATGGTTAGACTCTCTTGTTGGAGATAATCATTCTGGCATTGTGTGGCATGAATATTGCTTGCTATTTTTCAGTCCAAGCTTGGATATTGTCCTAGTTTTGTTATATTTGGATATGGATTGCTTCAGTATTTGAGCAGTTGCCAATGGTGCTGAACATGGTGCAATTGTTGGCAAACATTCCCACTTCTGATCTTATGATAGAGGAAGGTCATTTATGAAGAAGCCGAAGGTGGTTGGGCATAGGATGTTAATCTGAGGAAGTCCTACAGAAATTCCTTAGAGCTGGGGTGACTGACCTCCAAAAAACTACAACCACCTTCTTTTATGCCAGGTATGACTCCAAGTAGTGGAGAGATTTCTCCCTGATTCCCATTAACTCTAGTTTTGCTCAGGATTCATGCTCAGTCAAATGCGACCTTGATGTTAAGGACTGTCACTCTCTTCTCCCCTCTTGAATTCAGCAATTTTGTCCATGCTAAGAGCAAGGTTGTAATGAGATCAGGACCTGAGTGGCCCTGGTGGAATCCAAACCAGATATCAGTGAGCAGGTTATTGTTAAGCAGCTACTGCTTGATAGTACTGTTGATGACACCTTCCATTACTTTAGATTGAGAGTAGACTGATGAGCTGATATTAGCCAGGTTGGACTTTTCCTGATTTTTACGTAAAGGACATACCTGGACAATATTTCATATTATCAGGTAGATGCTAGTGTTGTAGCTGTATTGAAAAAGCTTGGCTTGGGATGCAACAAGTTCAGGAGCATGTCTTCAATAGCTTTGCCAGTTGTTGTCAAGGTCAACAGCTTTTGCAGTATATAATGCATTCAGCTGTCTTTGATATCATGTGGAGTGAATCAAATTGACTGAAGATTGTCATCTATGATGTTAGGATTCTCTAGTGGAGGCCAAGATGGATCATCCACTTTGCACTTCTGACTGAAGATTGCTGCAAATGCTTCAGCCTTCCCTTTTGCACTGATGCGGTAGGCTCCCCTATTATTGTAGATGGGGATATTTTTTGAGCCTCTTCTAGTAGCTTGTTTATTTGTCCACCACCATTCACAACTGGATGTGGTAGAACTCCAGAGTTTAGATCTGATCTATTGGTTGCAGATTTGCTTGGCTCTATCACTTTCTGTTCATGGTGTTTGTCTCATTGTTGCTTCAACAGGACGACACCTCATTTTTTTAGGTATACTTGGTGCTGCTCCTAGCTTGCCCTCCATTGAACCAGGGTTGATCACTTGGCTTGATGATAATGGTAGAGTGCAAGATCTGCTGGACCATGAGGTTGGAGATCATGTTGGGGTATGATTCTGCTGCTGCTGATGGCCTACAGACCTCATAGATGTCCAGTCTTGGGTTGCTAGATCTTTTCAAAGTCTATCCCATTTAGCACGGTGAATGTTCCACACAGCACGATGTAATGTACTGACCCAGTCTTGGTGATAGATATTGAAGTCCCCTAATATAAGTACATTCTGTCCCTTTGCTACCCTCAATGCTTCTTCCAACTTAAGTTCAACATGAATGCAACGTGGTGCTGATTCACGAGTAGAAGGCAGGTAGTCAATGTAATCAGCAAGACATTTCATTGTCCATGACTGACTTTATCCCATGTAAATTCATGGTATCCAAAGTCAATATTTAGTGGTTCCAGGGCCATTCCATTCCAACTATATAGTACAATGCTGCCACTTCAAGTGGGTCTGCCCTGTTGTGGGACAGGACATACCCAGAAATGGAGGAGTTTGTAAAATGAGCTATAAAGTATAATTTGCTGAGTGCAATTATTGGAGGATATTGCTTGACTGGTTTGTGGAGCAGCTCTGTAGTGCCTTGATACAGCTGAGTGTCTTGATAGGCTGTTTCACAAAGCAGTTAAGTATCATTACATTGAAATCAACCATAGGCTAGATTAAGTAAATATAGCAAATTTCCTTCCCTAAAGTGCATCAAAGATTCTGAATAAACTGAAGGTCAATGGGAATTAGGGGTAAACTCTCTGCTGCCTGAATTCCTACCCAACAAAAAGGAACATGGTTGTGGTCATTGAAGGCTAATTATCTCAGCTCCAGAACATTGTTGTCAGAATTCCTCTAGGCAATGTCAACCAGTGACAACTCTAATAACAAATGGGTATAAACATCTTCCCTTGACATTCATCATCATTATCACCATCAAATTTCCCAGAACCAATGTTCTGTGGGGAAGTGGGCCACTATTCAGCAGAAAGTTAACTGGACCGGTCATATCAACATTGTGGCTACAAGAGCAGATCACCGGCTTGAATTCTGTAGTCAGTGACTCAGCAAAGTCTTTTGATTGTCTACAACATGCAAGTCAAGGGTGTGATGGAATACATTTCACTCCTCTGGATGACTGCAGTTCCACTAACATTCAGGGCAAAGCAGTCCAGTTGACCCCATCCAGCACCTTATGCATTCACTGTCTCTGCCAACGAGCAATGCAGTTGCAGTGTGTACCATTTACAAGGTGCACTGCAGCATGTTTTCTTTGACAACTCATTTTATTACCTAGAAGAACAAGGCAAACAGGTACATGAGAATGTGGTCACATGACAGTTCCCCTTCAAGTCACACACTATCCTAACTTAGAAATGTATCACAGTTCCTTCATTGTCAGTGAGTTAAAATCCTGCAACTCCATGTTCAACATCAATCTGAGGATACCTTCATCACATGGACTTCAAGAGGTCAAGACAATAACTCACCAACAATGTGGGATGGGCAATAAATACTAGGCGAGGAGTGCCCATTTCCCATGAAAAAATGGAAAAAAATCCTTCCCCATTCCTCACATTTCCTTTTACAGTCTGTCTCCTGATTAATCTTCCAATTTTCCTCCATCTTTCAGTGATTTGTGGGACCGATGGCAGGCTATTTTAAATTGACTGACTAGATGGTTACTCTGACATTTTCTTTGCAATATAGAGAATATCCTATTGCAGCGTAAAATATCTAGTCTGTACAAATACTTTAAGTGCCACATAATAAACTTGTTAACCCATGGGATTAAAGAGACAGGGGGAGATACACACAAAATTAGCTAACAGACAGAAAGTATATGGTGGTGAACATTTTCTTTCAGATTGGAGGGAAGTATATAGTTGTGTCCATCAGGGTCACTGTTCTTGATATTTATAATTGCTTTGGATTAGGGTTTGAAAGATATAACTTCAAAGTCTGCAGTAAATTATTGACTTGTACATGTAATAAACCATGAGATGGATTCAAATACATTTTGAGTGGACACACTGCAGGTGAGTGGTAATGACAAATTTAAGGGGAATTTAGATAAATATATGAGAGAGAGGGAATTAAGATGATGAAGTTAGATTAGGAAGGATGGGAAGAGGTTAACTGGGCTAGTAACATGAATGACGGAATTCAGGTGAAGAAACCAGGGAATCTGGGATTATGCTGCTTACAGTAGGGAAAGTTATGGGGAGATTTAATACAGTTGTTCAAAATTATTGATGGTTTGATAGGGCAATTAAGGCAAAACCACTTCAATGATATAAGAGCTAATTGGTCACCAGAGGTGATAGATAATTGACCAAAAAGAAAAATAAAAATTTCATGCAACAGATTGTTATGATTTTGAATTCACTGTGTGAAAGGTCGGGGTGAAGGAAGTTCCTACAACTACTTCCAACAGAGAACAAATACTTGAAAAGGAGAAAAAAAGACAGGGCCAGGGGAGGACAACAGGGGAGTGGACTAAATGGACAGCTCTTTCATAGAGCTGATATAGGCACAATGAGTAGTCTGGCCTCCTGCTGTATTGTAAACTTCAACATCTGTTGCTGAGCCATTCTGTACCAAAAATACAGAAGGCAGAGAGATAACAGTTTTAAGAAGTCAACCAATATCACCACAGAGCAATATTTCAGTATCATGTAGAACCACCGTGATCAGAGCTCATATCGTGATTATGATAGTGAATGCAGAAAAATATTATAAAGGTTTTTTTTCCATATATTAGACTGTGTTGTGTTGTACATACCTGTCCTTCACCACCTCCACTGATTATTTTCTTGCAGTCATTAGTGGCAGCAATCGCAGTGACACCATCATGATGAGCATTATTGATTGTATACATTAATCTGCCAGTCTCTGGTGTAAAAGCACGAATCTTCCCATCATTCCAAGCTATGGAAATTTCAGATCGGGAAATGGTTCACAAAATAAAGTGAAATATGTCGAATAAAGAATGATGAAATTTTAATGGTTTTATAATTTGAATAAATGCTATTACATACCACTGATAATACTTTTCCCATCACACATAAATTCAATGGCATTGCAAGTCATGTTTGGCACAGAGATTCGCAGGAGTTCTTTATTGGTGGGTGTATGCCAGATTCGTATTTCAGCCTTAGAGCATGTTCCAAACAAGTCTGAGGTTCCACTGCATTTGAAACAAATAGATACTAATCAAGAAAGCCTTTTCTCAAGATTTCTCTTCGATATGTTTTGCAAAAAACCATAATGAATTAAGGTAAATTCCTGAAGATTTCCTTTGGCTTGTTTGTACTGCTGTGGCCTCCATAGTGACTGACTGAAACTTCCAGATATTGGCTGATAGAAGGACACAACATTTCTTTCATATTTAGTATCATCAATGAATCTTCCTCTACCAACATATTATGGTGGTGACACAGCGGTTAGAATGCATCCTCTCTGCGCCAGGGACCTGGGTTCAATTCCAGCCTCGATCGACTGCCTGTGTGGAGTTTGCACGTTCTCCCCGTGTCTGCATGGGTTTCCTCCGTCTGTTCCAGTTTCCTCCCAAAGTTCAAAGATGTGCAGGTTAGGTGTGTTGGCTATGTTAAAATGCCTTGTAGTGTCCAGGGATGTGCAAGCTAGGTGGATTAGCCATGGTAAATACAGGGTTGGGTCTGGGTAGGATGCTCTTTGGAGGGTGAGTGCAGACTTGATGGGCTGGATGGCCTCTATCTGCATTGTAGGGATTCTGTGATTCAATGGGATTACAATTGACCAGAAACTGAACTAAACTATCCATTTAAATATTCTGCTTACAACAGCAGGTCAGAGACTGCAGTATATAACAGACCTCCTCATTCCTCAGTGCCTGGCCATCATGAGCAAGGTAAAAGGCAGGAGTGTGATGGAATACTGTTCACTTGTATAGATGGCTGCAGCTCCAACAACACTCAAGAAGTTTGGTACTGTTCAGAAAAAAAAAACCTGCTTGCTTGATTGACACACTATCCATCACATTTTACATTCACTCCCTCCATCGCCAATGCTGTGCAGCAGCAGCGTGTACCATCTACAAATTGTACTGCAGTAACTCACCAAGGATGCTCTGACTCTCTTTGCAGACCCATGACCTCTACCAGCTAAATGTGCAAGGCGGCAGATATGTGGGAACACAAGCACCTGCAAGTTCCACTCTAAGCCACACACAACCCTGACCCGAAACAATATTACCTTTCCTTCACTGTCATTGGGTCAAAATCCTGGAAGTCCCTCCCTATCAACATTGTGAGTATACCTGTACTCAAAGGTAAGCTGCCGTCTTGAACCACTGCTTTCCTTTGAGTACCGGTATACTCACAATGGGTAATTTGGGATGGGTAGCAAATGTCGACCTGGCCAGCAAAATCCACATCAGCTCATGGATGAATAAACAAAATCACTTAGACTTACTGTCACACAGGTCACATGATCCCTTTCATGTACTCTAAACATAAAGTTGTTGTTATTTGTCAGGATCCTTTAAATTGCTTCTTGCTCATGTGTCATAATCTAAAGTCCTTCCTGATAAATGAGGCTGATTTTTCTCATCACAGTGCCAATATACACCAGTTTGTAGGACATTAGTATAAAGAAAAATGAGTAGAAATCTGTAATGTCACTTCATTGCCTTCTTTCTCCATTACATGCATTTCTGGTGTGTTGAGAGCAGGTAGCTCCTCTGTGAAACAAGTGAGAGATTCACTCCAAAGTTTAAACACAGAGCAACATTGTTCTGAAAGCTCCCAAATCTTCTTCCATTCTTCACGGCAACTCATTTCAATACCCACATCTACAGTTTGGAGGTCATTTCTAAACTAAATTTCCTAACTTGTTTGTGTGTGCTTTCTGCTAGTATTTGGTTGTCATGAGCCTTTGAGCCAAGCGTTTCATTACTTTTTGTCTGCAGCACCACTATTAAGATTTCTTTTTAATTAAATCTGGGAAACCACAGATTTAACTGTCTGATAATGACTTTGGAAAAGTATCTTCACAAGATATACAAAAATATCTTCAAAAGGTCTGGACCAGGAGGGAACTTCATGGTGAGATGTGCTATGAACTACCAGAGTACCCTACTGCTAATGCGATCATAGTGTGGGCACAGTGAATGACAGGACAAATGAAATATTGTCTTAAATCTGCACACAGGGCTTCTGATCTCTTCAGCTTTGCCTTTGCCTTCTTAATCCACTGTTCCATCACCTTTGGAAAGTCAACTGATGGATTAAGATGCCAGTTGTGTCTTTCTGAAAGCTTTCAAAATTTTATCAACGTAGCATGCCTCTTTATTGCTCCCACCCCTTTCAATTTCTCTTGTATGCAACTGTTCTCATCCACAGTGAGCACGTTCTTTATACCTGCTCTGAGTTGCACTTCAATGTTTCAATCTGATCCAAATGAGCTGATCTAGTAAATGTAACTGCTATTTGGACTGTACCATTCAGGTTGAAAAGTGACTTGCACGTTCAGAATAAAACTGACTTCCTGTACGATACTCCTGTTGTTTCTTGGAGATCTATGTCTCTGTCACTAAATTTCTTCTGCCAGCAAAATAATTCAATGATAATTTAAACATCTTTAAAATTTGGTAACACTGATAAAGCAATTGGATGAATCTTAGACAACAAGGTGCAGGGCTGGATGAACACAGCAGGCCAAGCAGCATCATAGGAGCAGAGAGGCTGACGTTTCAAGCCATTGTTAAACACTAATGCCATAAATTTTAGAAAACAAAATATTTAAAACAGTTTTTTGATTTGTAATATAGATAAAAGATAATGAAGTGTGTAATTGTCCATAAACACAGCAAATTCTACAAACCTACCAGGGAAATGCTATATCAAGAACAGCATCACAGTGACATGTAGTGATCAGATCCTCTTTAAACTCAGTGAAATTAAATCGATATATCTGGGAAGTAATGGTCCCGACAAAGAACTGGTGTCCTTGACCACGAAGACTGATTGAAGTGATACCACCATCCACCTGCACTTTTCTGGAATAAAAATAAAGATCCTCCCAATGTAGTCTTAAAGTAGTGGGCTAAGAGCACAAATTAAACTATGTACAGAATTAAATAGGCATTAGGTTAAATGAAATATGTAGTGTATTGTACATTACAAATAACTTCATTTAGTTTCTTAAGTATCAATTGGTCTGTATCTTGCAGTAGCAACAATAGCAAAACTGTCAGAGTTCAATGTCATTCCTTTTCTGAAACTGACTTTTGTAATTTGCATATGTGCAGTTAAACATGGGAATCCAAAACTTATTGTTGGTAATTCTATGCTTCCAATAGGGTGTTCTCGTGAAGTTGCAGTCCTCCCCAGTCACAACCCAGAAGTAGAAACCACTAAACTGATGAGATAATATCTCACTATAAAAATTGTTTCAAAAGTCATATCCAACAGAATGATGAACAACTGACTAAATGGCATATTAAGCTCATAATTGCTTCGAGTTGCATTCACTGGCCCTGAAAACTAATTTTATATTGGTTGATTGTCAAACATTTTGAATATGATCAAAAATTATCAATAGGTATTTTTAGAAGCTTGTTTGATACTTCAGTTTCAACCTTAACCCCATGGGTATGTCCCAAAGATTTATTTTACTTTTGTAAAATTTTATTTTAAGGCGAAAGTTACAATACAATTTACTTCATGGTTTGCTATCCCTCAGAATACTTCAATTATCCTGCAGGATAACATCACTGTTACTGGAAGCTGGGAGATCCCTTGACTTGGCACTGGACTCAAACTGAAACTGGGAAAGGGGAATTTCAACGATCACTCAACCTTTGTCAACCTTTCCTAAAATGTCATTTAAATGTTACAAACATCGTTAAATTAGTGGAAGGAAAGTCATGGGATGGCACCTATGATTTTACAAGTTGTATTCCTTGCAAGTGCCACTGTCAGCTCTGGGAAGAACTAACTTTTTAAAAATATGTTGATTGTTCTGCCACAGAATGTGTAGGAAGCCCACAATTGGATCTAAATAATGCATCTTATTAAAGCAAAGATACATGTTACATGAAGGTTGTCAAGACTGTGGCTCAGTGTTAGCATATCTGCTGTTGTGGGTTCCAGCCCGCTTAGATAATAGATGTGTCATGCTGTGTAGGGCTGAGATGGTGGACTGAGATCCCATTTGGCTTCTCAGGAGGAAATAAAGGATTTCATTGGTGCTGTTTAGTATATCTATTTGCCAACCTCTCTAAATCAAAACTCCATGCTTATCACTGAAATTGATCCACAAGTGGCCAAGTTTTAAAGTGCTTATGTTCCAACTTTTAAACCAAAAGTCTTGAGTTCAAGTCCTATCTGCTCCAGAGGTATGTCACTAATGCCTGAACAGGTTGATTAAAATACCTGAAGTTATCTGGATGGAAGGATTGAGTGGCTTATGGATACTCTTAAAAATCTGCAATATGTTGAGAGTTGTTAACAAAAGGGAAAAAACATATCTGCATTTAAATTTTAAGAGACCAATCTATGGATGAAAAACTTGCAAGACACTGTGTAGACTATAAAGACAGCAGTTAACAATCAACTATGTTGTTATTGGTCTGGAGCCAGATCAGCTAAGAGCATTAGGTTTATTTCCCAAAAGATATTTCTGAATGAGTTGGGAGTTGCAGCAATCTAGTAGCTTCATGGCCACCAATATTATTTAATTCGGTAAATTTAAATTCCTCTGCAATTATGTGATTTGAATGCATGTCTCCAGATTTTTATGTCAGGCTTCAGGATAATGAGTTCTGTAATATATATATATATACTAATCCTAGCTGATGGTAATACTAGATAAGTTCTAGAATGAACTAGACAAGATCTAGAATGAAACTTGATTGCTAGATCATCTGTCTTTTCTTCATTTGGTTAGTTATCATGGTGGTTAGTCATTGAGACATATTCAGTCAAAGCTGAAAATTTTATTTAACATCAGATGGGTGCTTTGTACACAATAGAAGAAAAAAAACCTATCCAAATAAAGAAGATAATTCAAAAGATATAAAACAAACAGCAAAACTAAGTTGCAACGTCATTCCAAATAATATCCATTACAGACATTGAATCGAGAGAAATTACACCATTTTCTCAAGTCTTTATGGTTTTACTTACTGACTCCCGACAATTGGAGTTTGCACATTCTCCCCGTGTTTGCGTGGGTTTCCTTCAGGTGCTCTGGTTTACTCCCACAGTTCAAAGATGTGCAGGTTAGGTAGATTGGCCATGCTAAATTGCCCATAGTGTCCTGTTTATGTGGAGTAGCCATGGTAAATGCAGGGTTATAGGGATAGTGTAGGGGCATGGGTGTGGGTGGGATGCTCTTTGGAGGGATGGTGTGGACTCGATGGGCCGAATGGCTTGCTTCCACACTGTACGGATTATATGATTCAATGGATTTCTTTACCATGCACTGTGGAGCCAATTATATGAGGCCTTTCCAATTTTGCCAACATGAACATTTTCGCAAATCTGAGAGAGCAAATTTTCTCAGTTCTAATAACCTGTAAGATACCTGACCAAACCTGGTTTAAGATTCAAACCCTGGTATTGAGATGACTCCAAACTGCCTTGAAAAACTCCTTCTAGAAGAGAAACTAACCTTACTTTTAAACTCAATACTTGTATTTTTTCAGAATGAATTTAAAAAATCCTCAACCCCAGAGACTTCTAAACTAAAAACAAAGCTAATAGCCTTACATGTTTAACTTATATGTCATAAGCACAACAAGATAAACATCTTTGCACCACAGAGATCCGCAGGCACCTGCCATCTACATAGGACATAGGACAGTACAGTACAGGAACATTATCTCACTAATGACGGTTTTGGTCATTGTGCCAGAAAGACTCTCTGGTCTCTTTTTTAATGAAAATCCTTCACCCAAGTAACAAATATCATTCTTTCTCCATTTTAAAATCAAAATTCCAAAATGATATTTTTATATATATATTATATACACATATAAAATAATGCACCTTTCATTATACATAAACAACAGAAAATCCATGAAAATCTGTTTCCAAAAGAAATCAGCTGAATCTTTTTGGCTATAGATCAAGTTTTTTGGAGGGAATCTGGACACAAGACTGAGAAGATTTTCTCAATGTGTCTCATAAAATTAGCCAGACTAATTACTGGCCTCATTCCCTATGGCATCCTTTCTGGTGGCTATGCATGTCCCAACCGCAACAATCCCACCAAACATGGACTGGCATTTATAGGACAAAGGACTGATCATGATCTGCTCTCTGCAACACCACTCTGACAGGACAACTGTCTGTGGCTGAAGCCCTGGACTGGTATGAGAGGCTGTCTTTGACTAATTGTGCCAGGCCCCTGAATGATGGGTGCCGCCATGGACTTTACTGAGGACTACTTCCTAAGACTTTGAAATATGGCTGACTAATGCTGCAGATGCAGTTTGTATGGTGTGAACACTGCTGCCCTGTAGGACAGGTGTGACAATGATGTGGCAGTGAGCACCTTAGTCTGAGGACTACTGAGCACCACTGCCAGCTGCCTGGTTTTGTGACTGCGCTAACTATCACTGCAAAGCAAGACAAGGTAAGGCATGCATGTTACAGGTATGCTGATAGGTGCCAGGTGAATGCACACTATGAGAGCAAGCAAGCAGCTCTGGTAGTGAGCTGGGTGCCTGACCCTGTGCAACAACTGCACCTGATACAGCTGGTGATACTGCTGATTGACACTATGCTGGTCTGTGCTTCCAGAGCATAATGCCAGTGTATCAGAAAGTGGTGCCAATGGTTCACTGAATATCAAATGCCAAAGTGTTTGGAGGAAGGGTATGTGCGGCTGATGCTGGTGGATCGTGACCCGGGCTGCAATTTGATCATGAGCAACATGGAAGTCACCTGAAGAAAATGGTAAGCTGAATCCACCAGACATCTGCTGTGGTTTTCCACACAGCTAGTTTGTTGGGCAAGTTTGGTAAGATTGGAAGCAGAGTATCAATTAGGTGTGTTGGGCTGTCAACAAGGAGCTAAACAAGCATCATTGCCAACTCGCCACTACCAGACAAAACTCTTGCCACGCCACGTGTGAAAATGTACACAGCCTTGCTGGACTTGTCAGATTGTACCACACATCTTGCTATGGACCAAATCAGTCAGATCCCTAAAATATTCTGCCTTCAGTATTGCACAGAACTCTAATGTACATTAGACAATAAATGTAATTCAGCTTCACAAAGCAGTATCAGGTCATTTTGAACTGAACATGGTTAAACTAAAACATGTTTTTTTCAAAAGTACAGGGTAGTGTGTTTTTAAAACAAATTGCTGCTGTACTAAAATCTATTTTATGAATTCTGTAATTCCTCCATGAAGCATTATTTAAGTCATTACAAGTAGTAATTTGTTAGCACACAAGGTTAATAAAATATATATTCAATATTAAATGTATTCAATATTAAATATATTTAAACATACTTGAGTGTCTTGAAGTGTGGTGCTTTGCACAGAGCTATAAGACCATCTCCAGTTCCAACAAGGGTGTCCTCCGATTTTAGCTCTACTATTGCAGTGACACCCTGTAGATAACGTGAGATGAACCATTCAAATTCTCATTTCACTTCAATCGTAATTCTTGTTAAATACTAACACTGAAGTGTGGAAATTAGAAAATTAAACTATTTATAATGTCTAAAGACATTCTAATCACCTGGACTTTTTAAACAACTATTTCCCTCCTTGTTTTAATTCCTCCATGTTGTCCCTTAACTGAAGCAAATAAATACCAACCCTCTTTTAATACCAGTACCTCCCTTTGAAACTGAAAGGACACTACATTTTAAAACAAAGCGATGTCTGTTGTAAATTCTTAACACAAAGCGTCAAATTATCCTAAATTCTGACTAGAATAGCAGCACTGGAAGTGTCCCAGAATGATGAACCTCCTGTCCTTCTACCGTGCTGAATAGCTGTTACCATTTGTTTTACCACCTCTCTAATGGCAGACTGCAGGCCACACAACCTATTACATCACCAAGTGTCACCGGGTTTTGGGACACTATTCGACAGGAGTCATCTCTCACTGTTGTATACCAGAAGCCAGCCGACAGATCAATTCACTCACATTGATGTAGCTCCCCCTATTTTAAATGATGCACTCTGAAGTTTTCATTTTCATATGTTGGAATACTGACCATTATCCATCTTCCCGTTAACCGTTGCCCTGCTTACAGTTAAGTCAAAACATTCGGCAATGTACTAGCTGAAGTTACATATAACAGATTTTGTTTTGGAACAAACTGTATACAGCCTGCACGTTCCAGAAAAAAAAAACAGCCTGTAAGCCAGTTGCAGATTGGAAAGATTAGGATGATAAAGAAATAGGTCAGTGCAGTGTCACCTGGTGGGATGCTAGAAGAACACTGTGCAATGCATATGGAAAATAGATGACCAGTTCAAAAGCGGAGCCCGTTTGTTCCAAAATTTAGAGCTTTATACAGGCAGTGCAGTAATAGACCAAGAAAGTTCAAAACTGATTCTCCTAAACTTTATGGAAACTAACGCAAAGTACTTAGCAGAAGGAAAAAATGGTGATTTGAGAACTTTATTTTTAATACAGTGAGCAGTTAAAATCTGGAACACACTACTGAAAATGTGGTGGGTGGCAGATTCAACTGAAATCTTGAAAATGGAACTAGATAATTATATGAAAAAAAAAATACAGGGCTATGAAGAAAAGGCAAGGGAGAGGGACTAAGTGACTTGCTCCTGCAAAGAGCTGACATAACACAATGGGCTGAATAGCTGCCTTTTATTTCAAATGTTACAACAATTCTGTGATTCTGTTGATTGCTTTATGTTTATTGTAACACTGCAGAACAGTTGTGAAATAGCAATGCTTATAGTAGTGAAGGAATATTAGCGTTCTGATGAAATGGCATTGACCTGAAATGTTAACTCTAATTCTCTTGCCACAGTTGCTGCCTGACCTGCTGAACATTTTTTTGTTTATTTTAAATTTTTAGCAAGTGCAGTATCTTGCTTTCATATTAAAACTTTTAATGTTTAATACCATGCATGGCCCTGAGTTAAATGGAGGTGACTGATACAGGAATAATACATCTATGTGTGTGATCATAACCAAAGGAAATACATGAACATGATGTAGGCCCGGAGATGTAATCAGGATGAGTACCACCAGTTGGCCCATTCTGAAGCATTTACTCTGATAACCTATTTTCACAGGTCCTCTCTACTTCACATTGGTGGGCTAAAGCAACACCACTATTCAAGAAAGGAGGGAGGTTGTAAAAACAATGCAGCAAACTATAAGGCAGTTGGTCTGACATCTGTCTTTGGAAAAGTGTTGGAATACATTCATAAGGAGGTTGTAGCATGACAATTAGAAAATCAGAATACAATCAGGCAGAGCAAACATAGTTTTGTGAAAGGGAAATTATAGTTGACAAATTTATTAGAGTTCTTTGAAGGTGGAACAAGCAGGAGAGATAAAAGGGGAACTGTAGATGTAAATGTGATTGGATTTCGAGGAGGCATTCCTTAAGAAGCTACTTCAAAAGTTACTACATAAGTTAAGAACTCACTGTGTTGGGGGTGATGTAGTAGCACGGATGGATTAGCTAAGTAGCAGAAAATATGGAATGAGGACAAATGAGTAATTTTTAGTTTAGAAAACTGTAACAAGTACAGTGCCACAGGGATCAGTGCTGGGTCCTCAATATGATCGATATTGGTATATTGAATGAAGGAACAGACTGTATCGTGGTCAATTTTGCTGGTGCTATAAAAATAGGTAGGAAATCAATTTGTAAGGAGGATATAAAGAGTCTGCAAATGGAATTAGGTAGGGTTCATGAGTGGGTAAAAAGTTGACAAATAGAATATAATATGAGAAATGTGATATTGCCAACTTTCACAGGAAGAATAGACAATCAGATTTTTTAAAAAAATGCGAGACTGCACGATGTGGCAATACAGAGATATCTGGGTGTCCCTAGACATGAATCACATAAACATTAGCATGCAGGTACAGTAAATAATTAGAAAGGCAAATGGAATGCGAAAATGTGAATCAGGAGCAGGAGGAGGTCATTCAGCCCCTTGATCTTGCTCCATTATTTAAATAAGATCATGGTTGATCTAATTGTAACCTTAAATCCACATTCCTGCCAACTGCTGATAATCTTTCAATCCCTTGCTTAGCAAGAATCTATCTCCCTCTGTTTTAAAAACATTCAAAGAGAGCCCTGATATTTACAGTGACCTCCAGTCTTAAATTCTCCCATAAGAGGAAACATTTCTCAACATCTATCCTTTCATGACCCCACAAGATTTTACATTTTTAATCAAGTCACCTCTTACTCTTCTAAATTCCAGCAAATGCAATCCTAGCCTGTGCAACCTTTCCTCATAAAGCAAAACATCCATTCCAGGCTTCAGTATGGTAAACCTCTTCTGAATTGCCTCAATGCACTTACATCCTTCAGTAAATAAGATGATCAATACTGTGCACAGTATTCCAGACGCAGTCTTACCATTGGTTTGTATAACTGGAGCATAAACCTTGCCTTCTTCCAAATTAAATTTCCCTTGTGACAAATGATAACATTCCATTAGCTTTATTACAACTTGTATACTAGCTTTTTGTGAACACACAGAACCCTCTGCATCTCAGAGCTCTGCAATCTCTCAACATTTAGATTATCTGTTTATTTTTATTCTTCTTTCCAACATGGGTAATTTCACATTTTCCCACAGTTGCCCACTCACTTAACCTATCAATATCTTTTACAATTTCCCTGAGACAAAGATATTTGCCAGGGGACAAGGTGGTGTGTTGCACATACCACCTTCAACATACCACCCTGTTCCCTGGCCAATATCTCTATCTCAGGCTTGCTGCAGTGCTCCAGCGAAGCTCAGTGTAAGTTAAGAACAACACTTCATTTTCCACTTGGGGACCCTGCATCCTTCTTGACTCAATATCGAGTTCAATAACTTTACGGCTTGAACTCGCCTATGTTTTAGCCCCTAATCTCACTAACCAGGCCTTGTGAGCACATAATCTGCAATTACACACAACCCATTGTTAGTTACAAATAGTCTCCATTGACACTATTAACCCTCCTAGCCAGATCATTACCCACTCCTTTGTCCAACTGTTCTCTCTTTGGGCTGTATCCCCACCTATTATTTACTCCTTACTGCCTCCCCGCAATCCTTTCTCCTGCAATATTCGACATTTTCCTAGCTACCACCAGTTCTGAGGAAGGGTCACCAAACCCGAAATGTTAACGCTGATTTCTCTTCACAAATGCTGCCAAATCTGCTGAGTTTTTCCAGCAATTTCTACTTTTGTTTCTGATTCACAGCATCTGCACTTCCTTTGGTTTTTTATCAGATGATTTACATTATGTAGATTGTGCATTTGTGCTACTTGATATAAGTGTGTCTGTGGCTGGTTGGTGGGGTGATTGTGATCACTCTAGTTTCATTGAAAGATTATAATGATCTTGCTGAATGAAGAAAATAAGATACTTTATTCTCTGTAAAAAGTACATCATGTAGGTTTTGGACCTCTTTATATGTTCTATTAAATGTGCATGATCAGTACATGTGGACATATGTGATACATAGTACAAATAATAAATTATTTATGCAAATAATTGTAGTGGCCACTACATCAATCATCAAGAACTCCATGATTTCCAAATTCCCTTTGTTTTAGTTAATGCAATACTAATTGAAAATATTATTGGATCATCTTGGCACTTTACAAATCGTACTGATCAAGTTCACAGCTTACCAAACTGAACTTATTCTTTATTGGTCCATAATTATTCAGACGTCCAGTTTTCATGCTGATCATCAAAATATCACCAGTAGTAGTTCCACAGTAGAAGAAACTATCATCTTTTGTTACCTATCAGTGAAGAAGTGAAAAACCATGAGGTCAACTTAATATTTATGATGAAAGCGGAAAAAATTTCAGGCAATCACTCAACAAAAATTATAACAAGAATTATATTTTTAAAGTAACAACGCATTTAGAAATATTTCATTAAACATACATTTGATAGCTTTCATTTTAAATGATAATCAAATTGCAATAAAACATCTCATAATGCTTTATGGAAAATGCATTGTGAAACATTTTTATTATTATTTAGAAACATAGATTCTAAAGTTGACAGAATCATGTGTGGCTTTAAGTTTAAGGTTTACTTCATATATATAATGAGAGTTAAGAAGGGAAGAACATAATTTTGTCTTCATTGTTGAGTTCTAGGAGTGGTGCTGGTTTGTTTGGAAATTTGTTTACATGCATTTAAATGAGGCCTTTAAAAATCCCTTGAGGTAGATAACAAAATGCCTTGAGAAAAGGGTAGAAGAGAGAAAAAAATTGGTCTTTTAAATAGCAAGAAGTTGTTATATAACAAAGGGAGGCTGAAACAGAAAGCGGGAACCACCCAGAAGACAATCAATTTTAGTGATATCTTGCAAACAAATGTTTGTGTTGGATTTTCCAATGAAGCAGGATTTGCAATATTCCTTTATGGGAAAATGAGTTAAGTTGTCCGTTGGCATGGGAGGCAAGGAAAATAACAAGAGTGGTGAAGAGCACGTCATCTGTTGAAACTCTGGCTGTAATGATGCTGTTGATATACTGTTATATTTATTCAGCCATGTCCATTGCGCAAGGAATTTTATAGTGGAAATAGGGTGGCCTTTCACTGCTTGGGTACTGCACAGTTGTGTTGTTTTTAATATTTGTGAGGACCGTGTTTCAACTAAGTCTTCTACAGTGTAGTGTAGTTTTTTTCCTAATAGATGTTTGACCATGTTTTGTGAAAAACACATTTGCAGCCTCTTGTAAACATGTTCAGTGACTGACCAGCATGGTCAAGCAACAGTAAAACTAAAACTGGTCTATCAAACCAGGGATCACTCTTGAATCTAGCTTGTCCAGTTTTACTATCAGCTGGGATCATAACAAATTGTCAGGGTTCAATGGCCTCATTAACAAAAACTCTTGGACATTGGAATATTCCCAATGAGGTCTGTACTTGAGCTGCATTGATTAATTTGGGATGTTCTTGGAACACAGGCACAGGAGTAGGCTTTTCCACCCCTTCTGAACTCTGTCTTATGAAATATGAATTAGCAGCAGAAGTAGGCCAGTTTGCTCCTCCAGCCTAGTCCACCATTCATGGCTGCTCCTATTACATCACATTTCTGCCCACCTCTGATGGCCTTTACTCCTTTGTTTATCAAGAATCTATGTTTGCATTAAAAAATATCCAAAGACTCTGCTTCCACTGCCTTTTGAGGAAAACAGTTTGGCCCCCTGAAACAACTTTTTTTTCCCTTGTCTCCATTTTAAATGAATGGCCCCTGATGATCCCTAGTTTGAGAATGTTTCTAATCTATGTCTCAAATTTTCTAGAAAAACTAACCAATGCACTGGAGCTGGTGAAGGAAGAGCCTCAATAAATAAAAAAAACTAAAGCAGATAAAAAGGCCAAGGTTCAAAGTTTTGTTGCAGGAGACAAGGTATTAGTGTTGGTGACAGTCTCTGCGAAATCATGAAAAGCAAGTTGTACTGGATCTTATCGCATCAAGAAGAACCATGATTATGTAACTTATATAGTAAGTGCTACTGACATGGTAAACAATCAGTGAGTGTGTCCTGTTAAGATGTTGAAAAGAGATTATAATAGGGATGATAGATGGGAGATGAGAGTACTTTTGGTAGTGAAGGAAGTAGGGTTTGAAATAGAAACATCAGAGCAATGGCATAATGAATATGAAAAGGGAAATTCAAGTGTTAACTGTCCAACCATCAGATTGCTTAAAAAAAAAGTACTTAAAAAGTTTGATGGCATCATGTCTTATCTTCCGTAAAACTATCAAGGTTACTTAGAAAGGCTATTTTGCAGAATTATAATTCAATTTGTGGGCCAGGAAAAATGTTTCATGATTATTAATGTAGGGAATGTGTTGGAACTCAGGTTCCAAAGAAGAGTCATACTGGACGCAAAATGATAAGTCCGTTTCTCTCTCCTCAAATGCGTCCAGATCTGTTGAGTTTTTATTTCAGATTTCCAGCAACTGCAGTCTTTTGCGTTGATAGATTAAGTTCATGATAGGCAATGGCATTACTGGACCGAAACAAATAGCTGATGTTCATCCATTGTGCTGGGTCACGAACACAATGCATTTATTATCATAAAATCAATATAATAGCAAAAGCTGACTCATATCCTATACCTAGACTGAAAGATTGCTTCAAACAAATGAGACACACCTGGTTTGTCACAAAAATTGACATACCAAAGGGTTATTTCGCATGTTCCTTTAAATGAGTGACCTAAAGAATTATTACTTTTTGTAACACTGGATAGGCTTTATTAGCTCAAAGCTATGTGATTTGGAAAGAAAAATGCACCAACAACATTTCAATGATTAGCCAATGAATTAATCAAAGAATTTGGTAACTACTGCATATAATAATGATTTGTTTGTTTTGAGCCAAAACTGGGAAGAATATTTACATACTTGGTTGAACTGTTTGATCAGCTACAAAAGGGTCAATCTAGTTTTACATCTGGCTAAGAATGAATTTGCCAAAACAAAGGTGACTTCATTGGGCCATACTGTGGGACAAGGTCAAGTAGCAACTATAGAAGTGAAAGTACAGGCTGGGACAAAATGTGAGATTTTATGCTGTGTTGGCATGAATAGATTTTATCATTAGTTTGTTCTGAACTTGTCATTGCACATTTAAAGAATTTGTTGAGAAAACGCAGAAAATTTGAATGGATAACATATGTCAAAGTGCCTTTGAAAATTTGAAAGCTGTGTTAACAATTGTACTGGTTTTAGCCATACCCAATTATGAGAAGTTATTCAAACTCACTGTTGATGCAAGCAACATTGCTTTAGGGGCTCTTATATTGCAAGACGTTGAGATGGGGATCAAGCTATTTGTCAGTTGCTTTTTAAAGAAACTGACCACATGTCAGAAAAAATATTCTACAGTGAGGAAGGAAACATTGAGTCTTGTGTTGGGTCTACAACATTTTGAGATTAACAGAGAAGTTAAGAAGGCATCAGAAATACTTGCCTTTATCAGTTGTGGCATAGGTTATAAAAGCAGGGATTTATGTTGGAGCTGTATAGGAATTTGGTTACTGCTGGAATACTGGGTAAAGTTCTGGTCACAACACTGTATGCACTGGAGAGGGTGCAGAGAAGATTCGCCAGGATGTTGCCTGGGATGGAGTGGATTATCTATGAACAGAAGGTGAATAAGCTTGGGTGGTTTTCTTTAGAGCACAGAAGGTTGAGAGATGACCTGATTGAGGTGTATAATTTTAGAAGGACCATGGACAGGGTGGAAAGAAAAAAACTGTTCCCCTTAACTGAAGGGTCAATAACTCGGGGGAGAAATTTTAAGGTGGCAGTCAGGTGGTTTTGGGGGAATTTGAGGAAACTTTTTTTCACTCAGAGAATGTTAGTAATCTGAAATGCGCTGCCTGGGAGAGTATTTAAGCAGGAAACCTCACAATCTTTAAAAAGTACTTGGATGAACATTTGAAATGTTACTACATTCAAGTCTATGGGCCAAGTACTGGAAAGTGGGGCTAATGTAGGTCAAGGTAGCTGTTTTGTCTTGAAGACTTGATAGGCTGAAGTGCCTCTTCTGTGCTGTATGATTCTATGATCACCAATAACATGGAAGGTACTGTTATTTATATGAATGACAATCCTTTGAGATAATATTATTCTAAATAAAACTGTACATGGAGAGAACTGAGCAATAAAAGTGCCACTCACCTCAATACAGTTGATTATTCTTTTCAAAGGTCCAGTTTGGCATTCCATGGGACGGATTTTTCTGTTGGGTAAATCTAAGAGCCAGAGACGTAGTGTACCACTAGGAAAAGAAAATGAATATACCAAAAGAATATTACCTTGTACACATACCTATTTTAATAATATTTCAGGTGAAAATCATCTAAACCAACATATTAGGCTGGAATTTCCTGTAAGGTTTTAATGTAATTAAAGCACTGGAATGGATGTGTATTTTTTTCAATCTGAGAAAATTTACATTGAAGTAATTCACTACTAAGTATTATTACATGTAAATTTTGTCTACCATTGTTTCCTTGAGGAAGCTTTTCAGAAATCCTACCAAATAAAATACAACTATCTCTTGCAATGAAACTGAGAATGTGAGTTTCCTGTACCTGCACCAAACTGGGGTAAATTTAAAATGAATATTTTCAAATAGCTTAATTCAAAGTCACTATTTAAAACTGAGTTTTAAAGGCTTTTGTGCTTATTTTGTTTTGATTTACTGTCATCTTCACTGTATTTTCTACATATTTTAATGTTGATGGCATTAAAATACAATACATAAAAACAGGAACACTTCTACAATTTTTAAAATATACTGTGCTTAATGTGCTTAGATGTTTTTATGCTTTGAATACTAATTTTCAGAACAGCAATAAAACATGGAATCTCTTACAGGATGTTATATATTATGTGGGTCCTCAATTATCCACCCTGACTTCTGCTTGCTTTGAGCTGCTCTTTCTGTTTCAGTATACTATCAAGATCTTGAAGAAAGCTCAGAGCACAAACAATGTTGAAATGGATAGATTTGAGTGTTTTTGCCATTAGCCCTGATTAAGGTAATCTCAATTTTCTTTTCCAACTTACGTTCCTCCTGTAATGAAGGTATCGTCCATATTGTTAGCAAATTTTACACTCAGTGCATTTCCTGCAGTGGCAACACAAGCAGGACTGCCACAGATAGATGATTTTGTTGCAATATTCCAAATGACAACACTGCAATAGAGAAAAAGCAAAAGACATAAAGTTTCTTAATCATTGTGAAGGCCGACAGAAATAAAAAGATAACAATCTAGCAATTTGTGTAGCTTAAATCATTACAAAAAAGGGAACTAGATGACATAGTGGTTGTTCTTTAAATTAAAGAAATGTGCTTTAAACTCTCATCCAACAGCCACATGCGCACTTTTCAACACAGAACAACATAGCAATAAAACAACATTGGAACTAATAATACACTGACAAAAATATTACTCAAGAGTTCCACATGAATTTTTAACTCATACCTCTTTATCGTTATTGGAAACATCAGGGATTAACACTTTGTTTATACTTATGAGTTACTGGTGCGACTCAGTAAGTCTTATCTATTTTACATTAATCAGTTTCGCTTGTATAGTTAGTAACACTACCAACCTTCCATCAGGATATGAATAAGCTACTGAGTGAGTGACCTAACCTTTACTGCTATTATCAAGGAAAAAAAATCAAACAATGGAGTCACAAAATGTTGATCATCAAATTGCTACAGCACAGAAGGAAGCCAATCAGCGCTTTACTTGCATGCCTGCGCTCTGCAAAAACAATACAGCTTGTCCCACTGCCTTGACTTTGCCCATAGCTCAGCATTTTTTTCACTTCAGACAATAAAATAGTTTTGAAAACCACATTTGAACCTGCCTCATGACACTTTCAGGCTGTGTGTGACTTTTAACCTTCAGTGTTGAATAAGCAAGAAATCAAGTAGAATTAACTGAAAAAAAACACCAATGTGAGATATCTGGAAAATTAACAAAATTAGATATTTAGTCTTTTGACTAGACTGAAGATCATATGCTTGTAGTTAGAATAGTTTTAGAATTTATCCAACCTCATTATTGTGATTTGACATAGAGGCCTTGACGTCCTATGGGACCAAGGTGTCAGAATTCTGAGACATCAAAGTGATGAATCTACACCTATTGGACTGCTTAGTTCCTAGATTGTCAGTGTTTGTGTTAACTCACATCTGTGCTAGTAACTGTATTTGAACTAGTTGTCCTCAACTTCACCTCCCTTGATTTTCTAAGTGACATACTTATATTGGCCTGTACCCTCAGTTGGTATAACTTCCATAATCTCTCTTATTTTCTCACTTTCATTCTCTCTCTGCTGGTGATGCATTGATTTGACAGAAACATCTTTCTGCATATACCAGGCAAAGAACTACTTATGCTATGAAACTACTAAAACAACTTGAACTAAGAACTTAAAAAATTTCCTTCAAAAACAACAATTTAGATATTTTTAATTTCCAAGAAACATTCTTTACTTTTATTGATCAGTCTGTGTAACATACCTTATATGAGACCATAAGTTGTAGATCCGGAAGTAGGCCATTCAGCCCATTGAACCTAAACTGCCATTCAATGAAATCATGACTGAACTGATAACCTTCAACTCCACTTTCCTACCCTTCCCCCCATAAATCTTAATTCACTTACTGATCAAAAATTTGTCTGTGTCAACCTTGAATAAACTTAGTGACATAGCCTCAACAGCTCTGAGGTAAAGAATTTCACAGATTCACTACCCTCTGAGAGAAGAAATTTCTCCTCATCTCTGTTTTAACTGGGCTACCCCCTACTTTGAGATAGTGCCCTCTAGTCCTAGATTCTCCTACAAGAGGAAACACCCTATCAGCATTAACCCTGTAAAAGCACCTTTGAAGAGCAGGGCGATGTGTATTTCTATACATAGGTCTCAGTACATGCAATTGCATCATACTGAGAACCCAAATGATAATCCAATTGATAAATGGTGTAATTCTTCATGCACTCAGGATTATCCAGCAAATATTGTTCATTGCAGACCACATGGAATGTTTCAGTGTCAGTGCAATGCTAGTATGTAGGCTGTATATTCCAAAGATTTGTGAATCATATCGAACAGGGTATCTCTTTGGCTGACTGAAACAAGCAAGGTGCTGACTGTATTTAACCAGCCTGATCTTGCAAAACTCACAACATAATGTTCAACATTAGATGTGATTCTACAATTGGACAGCATTTGCTTAATAACCCTGAGAACGCAAATAATTATGCTGACAACCAATTTTATCATTATCAGTTGAGCTTGCAGTGCATTGCACCCACATGCATTGGAAGCTACATATACTTATACACATGCCCTGTTTTTTTACAGACAGAAAGAAAACACATAAATATATACAGTATGCTCTCATGCGTTATAAATGTTGTTTTCCCCTCAAATTGGCATTCTTGTGAATTGTCTCAATGAGTGCAAGTGGAAAAGCTTCAACAAATTGTCATTTCTTTCAGCAACACTCAAAACTACTAACTAATAAAGGAAGTAGATGTCGCTAAATTTGGCTCTTGTGGCTAAAGGAATCAATGGAAATGAGGGGAGGGCAGGATTAGGTATTGAGCTCAATGATCATCCCATGAATGGCTGCGCAGTGGTCAAATAGCTTACTCCTGCTCCTATCTTCTAAAAATTATTGTTTTCAACCAAGTAATAAACACTAGTTAACATCACTGGTAAAGTCCAGAATTAGAACGAGGAGATAGTAAGAACTGCCGATGCTGGAGTCTGAGATAACACAGTGTGGAGCAGGAGGAACACAGCAGACCAGGCAGCATCAGAGGAGCAGGAAAACTGACGTTTCGAGTCGGGACCCTTCTTCAGAAATAGTGGAGGGGAAGGGGGCTCTGAAATAAGTAGAGGGGGGGGTTGGGCTGGGAAAGGTAGGTGGGATGGTGATAGCAGGTAGGTAATGGTGGGGATTGGTTAGTGAGGTGGGAGGAGCATATAGGTGGTAGAGAAGACGGACAGGTCAAGGAGGCGGCGATGAGGGGGAGGGTTGGTCTTGGG